TTCCATAAAAGGAATCCTGTCAACAGTTTTTTTTGGAGGATCAAAACTTTTAATTAGGTTCATTCAGATGCCATGAAATACACTGAAAACATTCATTTCAGTTTTTTTTTGGTTTTTTTTTTTTATTTTTTTATTTTATTTTTGTAACTTTCATTTCAGTTTTGGTGTTTGGATACAAATTCCCAGTTTTCTCATTTTGTTACATACTTAAATTTTAGCAAAAGTGCGGCAAACTAAGTGTAGGATTATTAAAATTAAAGAGAGACATTACTTACATTCGCATAACCATAATATATCACTACTAACATTTGTAGAGATTATAGTAATTTTAACACATTAACACTTTATAACCAACATTCAAAAATTGTAATTAAAGTCGTTATTTTCCCTCACATGAACAAAACAATTTTGTCTCATAGCAGCAAAACCATTCACCTCAAAGATCAACAAAACTTGAATGATAGTTTGAACATAAACCAAACGAAATGTCTCTGTCTAATGATCGATCATTTGCCTCTTTCCTCTAGTCCTCACCTCCGTTTCCGTCCTCTCGACTTCTTCTTCTTTGCTGGTCACATCAAGAAAGCTTTGAAATGTTGTTAAACGGCGTGAGAGAAGATGAGAATAACCTCAACTCGAAATATACCATTGCATACCTTCTTCTACTATATGTGTGTTGGTATGGTTTGCAGAGAGATGTACTTAGAGAAAAGAAGAGAGAGAGAGAGAGAGAGTGGTGGTGAGAGTACCGTTCGAACCCTGGTGTGCACGCCAAGTGCTCGACGAAATGAGTCTTGGAAAGGTCATTTTGCATTTGAGGACGACAAAACTAATCACGTGCCTTGCACATGACCACTCCTTTTGTTGCTCAGCCTACAACAGTTTTCTTCTCTAAACAGAACATCTCTCTCTCCCAAGAAAAGCTTACTACTTTTTTTTTTCTTTTCCTCTGTTTTCTTTCTCATTCTCACACTTTCTCGAGAAATTGCTGACTCCCTGTGCTCCGATGACGAAGAACAAAGAACATGACGTCCAAAGAACAGAGAAGAATATCAACGATGCATACAATCTTGCCAAAGGCTTCTTCAAAAATGGTAAAAACGGTAAGGCCTTGTCGCTAACAGAGAAAACGATTTCAGATCATGGGGACAACGAATCTTGCTATTTTCACCACGAACTGCAAGGTGATATCTTCTTCCAGCAAGCAGGAAAAACAGATAACACCGACGTCAAATGCGTTTACTTGTTTGCTTCTGTCGATGCATATTCAATGGCTACTCTTCTGTCTCCTAACGCTCTACGGTCCGTTCGTGGCTATGCTCGTTCGCTAATCCAGTTGGGTGATCAGCTTGGGGTAGACAAGTTTTATGAGAAAGCTTTGTTCAGAGCAAAACGAGGATCTTCAGTAACGCTACCTCATGGCAC